AACATTAAACTTGTTTAGTACATTAGGATAGTATTTTGGTTTATGTAATTACAAGAGACATCGATCCATAGTTATCCACGAATGGTGAAAAAATAAATACACTTTAGGCTCATATCATAGATGGTATTCACTTCGTACTCATTGATCTCTTTAGTAATTTTGAATATTTATTTATTTTTATTTTTTTATACAGGATCAAGTTAACCAGCCACAAGTGACGAACATTGATAGTGGCGAACTATTAGACGAGATTAGGAGTCGCGGTGAAATACGACACGCGCGCAGCCCGAAAGTGACGAGCTCCAACCAATCCCCACTCGACGAAATGAAGCCCGTTTTCAGCCCAAGAATATCTCGCGTGGCCCGAAGCCCCCGTTTGGATGAGATAAGAAAGGAGCTAAGCCCAAGGTCGAGCAGCAAAGGGCCAGAAATAAAGCAAACTCCGAGTCCTCGTTTATCGATTCTCGGCGAAACGAGCCGTGGCTCGTCTACATAATAAAATTATTGTAGTTATTGCGTCTTACTTAGAGTTTAGAGCTCATGCTGTTGATATATATTCTTATTATGCAGAGTTTTCAAGTTTTATATTTGTAAGTATTTTGTGTTTGTTGTCAGTGTATTTGAGGACTTTTATGTGCATTTCATGTTTCAGTTGAACTCTCAATAATAGAAGCAAAAGGCAGAAAGAAGTGGTCATTTCTATTTTAATAATCAATCAAAAAAATTTGGAACCATAATTTCAACTTTTGTAAATAGACAATGAATTTTATTTAAAACTTTTGCTTTGCCTATGCTTCTTTGATTACATAAAAAGTTATCCAGGACCATCACATTTGGTGCTATATCATACATGAATATAAAGGGGCATTTTTGGTTCAATTGTAGCTTGAAAATGCAAGACATATTTTTTTTTTTTCTTTTAATTTAGTAGTAACTTATCCAAATTACAGTATAAAATAATATTGTGTAAATAAATCTATTATAGTAAACAAATTCAATACATACATATGTTTTGGTGAACCTTGTCATTTTTTTTTTAAAAAAAATTGATTATTCTAACTTTTGATTAGTCAAAACAAGAGTGAAGAATGACTTTGAACAGAAAAAACAAAGAAAA